TGTTGAATGGCAGTGTTACACAATGGAATGAGTTGACGGCTACGAATTTGATTAGCTTCGTATCAGTTGTCATGTAGCCTCTGTACTTTATCATTGGTCAAAGTCTATATTGCACAACTTTATGAATCTGTAGCTGCTATGCAAAACTGCAATAAAATTCTTATTAGTGTTCTGATGGAAATTGGGTGCTTCTGATGGATATTGAGAACTTTGGATGGACATTGGGTGCTTTTGATCCTGATAAGCACTGCAAAAATCTGCTGTGCATTGGACACTTCTTATGCTCATTGGGCTTTTGTGAAACACTTTAGGCACTTGTGATGAGCACTGAACAGTTCCTATTACACCTCATCATCTCCTAGCTAGTTTCTAAATGCCCAAAGGGAGTGAATTGATATACATTGATGCCCATTGCTTATGAAGGCCATAGTGATTCCTATTGCAACAATCAAGGTTTCAGTGTAATAATGAACAATACAAATGACAATTTGAATGGTTTCTGGTATATGTTTTCAAATTGTGTGATTTTTAGTAATTGTTTAATTGATATCTTTTTAAATATGTGATTTTTATATGTATTCAAGGCATCAAATTGTGATTTTGTTGTAAGCTGCCCTGAGTCCCTGTTGGGATGAGAAGGGCGGGATATAAATGAGGTAAATAAATAAACAAGATAAAGGTTTTCCCCTGACATTAAAATCCAGTCGTGTCTGACTTCTGGGGGGTGGTGTTCATCTCCATTTCAACGCCAGCGTTGTCCGTAGACACCTCCAAGGTCATGTGGCCAGTATGACATGGAGCACTGTTACCTTCCTGCCAGAGTGGTACCTATTGATCTACTCACATTTGCATGTTTTTGAACTGCTAGGATGGCAGAAGCTGGGGCTAACAGCGGGAGCTCACACTGCTCCCTGGCTTTGAACCTGCAACCTTTCCGTTAGCAAGTTCAGCAGCTCAGCGGTTTAACCCACTGCACCACCAATAAACAAACAAATAAATAATAGTGCCTCAATCCCTCCACTGACTACAATTGTACAATGGACATGTGTTCATTGTAATGTAATGGCACCCTGTAATTGAATACAGATATTGCCAACTTCTCAATTCTATTTCCTACACACCTAAGCAGTTTTACAAAAATATAAGTCCGGTGCTTAATTCCAGCCATTATCGTTAATAAAAACTAATGGGCAATTTTGAAACAGGATATAAACTTGATCTTAAACAGAAATGAATAAATGAACAACATATTTAATTTCTGAAGAACACAGGTTTGAACTTGCTGTTTCATCATCTGAGTAGATTTCAACATCCAGTTGTTGTGATGCTTCTGAGCTTTATTTGGATCTGTTGTTCTCTATCCTTCCTCCCATACTCTTAAAACATGCAAGAAGATATTCATGGCATTTGGCTCTTTAGCTCTACACAAATATCCCGTCAGTGAGACCAGAGCTGAGAACTCACACAGTGTGTACAGACAGATTCAGTTCTATTTGAGTCTAAAAGCTTGTTTTCCTTCTGCTTCCCAGTACTTCCAAAAGGAAAATGAACCTAGTGCATGAATGCCTTTGTTTTTCAACTTATAACAACCCCATGGATGTCATAGGATTTGCTTAGGCAAGGAATACAGTTCCTCTGAAATGGTGGTTCCCAACCTTTGGGCCACCAGATGTTTTGGACTTCAGCTACCACAATTCCTAACAGCTGGTAAACTGGTTGGGATTTCTGGGAGTTGAAGTCCAAAACACCCGGAGGCCCAAAGATTGGGAACCACTGCTCTGCAATATAACTGCAGCACCTGGTATTCATTGTCTGTCTCCCATCAAAGTATAACCCAAGGCAAATCCTGCTTAGTGTCTAAGATTAGGCAGGATCTGGGACTTTTCGGTTATTCAGGTCCTCTATCATTTTTGCTGAGCAAGGCAGCCTGCAAGTGAAGAGGGCATGTGAGGAAGGGCAGAGGAGAGAAACGGGGAGACACAATGACACCATGAATATATTGCAATATGCAGGGATGGATTCCAGCTTTTCCCAATCTGCTGCTCTCTTGTTGAGCTGACATTCCACCATCCCAATATAGCTGGCCATGTGGGATGGAAACAATAATACTTGTAATCCAGTATGCTACCAGTGTGAAATAGCATGATCAAACCAAGCTAGGAGAACAGTAGCTTTAATATCTTCATGTACCCCCAAAACAAGATGGAGAAGTCTGGGAAACCTTTCAGAGTTGTATGGCTCTGTCTGATGCAGAGAAGATAAGCATTGGAAATGTCTGCTGTGACTGCCATTCAAATAAATCCAAGGAGGCATTGTGTTTGCACACTCAAACATTTGGTGATGGAACATGTTACCGTCCACACATACACATTTAAGTTTGGGATTCTGGATACAACTCATAAACAGCTTCATTTTCTTCTGTGAGAAGGAAGCCAAAGGGATGGAAGGTAGTGGTAGCAATGGCAAATACATTTGCATTCATTTAGCATTATTATTATTATTATTATTATTATTATTATTATTATTATTATTATTATTATTGTGTCAGGAGCAACCCGAGAAACTGCAAGTCGCTTCTGGTGTGAGAGAATTAGCTGTGTGCAAGGATGTTGCCCAGGGGATGCCCAGATGTTTTGATGTGTTGCCATCCTTATGGGAGGCTTCTCTAATGTCCCTGTTTGAGGAGCTGGAGATGACAGAGGGAGCTCATCCACACTCTCCCTGGATTCACACCTATGACCTGTTGGTCTTCAGTCCTGCCAGCACAGGGGTTTAACTCACTGCGCCACCGGGGGCTCATTATGTAAAACAGCATGAATACTTGGAAATTCTACAAGTTTTCTTTCCAAGATACTAGGACCTTCTACATATAGAAAAATATTCCTGAGCTATGCAAAAAAGACCATGGATAGAAAGGTTCCAATATCTCCTCCATGCATTTGAGGAAGCATATATAGTCTACAAAAGCTTATGGTGCAACTTTCTTCTGTCAGTATCTAAGATGCTACAAGATCCCTTTGCATACTGGTGCTCTTTGCTTGTTTTCCAGAGCCATCTGTTCTCACCTCCTACTAGTTTGAATGCCACAGCAGCTTGGAGGAGTGAGACTGGAATAAAATGGGATTTAGGCAGGAGGGAATCCTCTCCATATGAGGAACAAACTATAAGAAGAATTACGGTAAGTGATAGCGGTGTGCAGGATGTGCATGACTACTTAGGAGGTCAGAATAAGAAAGGACAACCCAACTCCATTCCAATTCTTATTCTTCATTATGAGGTAGAGTTTCCAATGACTAAAACATATGAATATTATACCAATCTGTTAAGAGATACACATAAGGATTGTCTAGTCAATGGTGGCCATGAAGCCATGTGAGAGCTGATAATTGTGTTGCATCGCACTATACACACTTTGTATAATCTAGTTTTTCCTTACTTTTACAAAATGGGCTAAATTGCTGACTACGGATCTGTGCAGTTGCCTTTTGTTCTGAAGTAGTAAACAGATTTTGCACCAACGGATTCAACCATGGCTCTTCAATCAAGTCCTTGAGAATATTTATCCTCTAGTTGTCCTACATAGTAGTCACACATCCTGCACTTTATCCCATGCCCTCTCTCCATTACTACAGCTGGCACTTATTTTACTCCAACGTTTACAGCCTGATCATGGTGCCAGTAATTTACCTCCAGATTGGATTACTGCGATGCACTGTACGTGGGGCTGCCCTTGACAGCTCGGAAATTGCAACTGGTGCAAAGATCGGCGGCCAGATTACTAACTGGAGCAAGTTACAGGGAGCAGTCAACCCCTCTGTTTAAACAGCTCCACTGGGTGCCAATGAGTTTCCAGTCCCAATTCAAGGTGTATGTAATTACCTACAAAACCCGAATCAGTTCAGGCCCTGCCTGTCTTCACGATCGGATCTTCCCCTATGAACCAACATGAGCCCTAAGATCATCCGGGGAGGTCCTCCTCTTGCTTCCGCCTCCGTCTCAGGTGTGGCTGGTGGGGATGAGGGAGAGGGACTTCTCGCTGGTGGTTCCCCGGCTCTGGAACTCTCTTTCTAGGGAGATTAGACTATTGCCTACCCTGTCCTCCTTCCGCAAGAACCTAAAAACATGGACGTTCCTTTGTGCCTTTGATTAGGCAGTCCCAAAGAATTGGCCCTTTAATACCTAAGTTTCAGCACTTTAGTATGGCCCTCCACTCTACAATCCTGACATAAAGTCCAAGGATATTACTCCCCCATCCCTGCCACTGAATTTTGCACTTTCCCTTAGTTCTAGCTAGAAATTTTGCACAAACTCAAAGACCTCTCAACTTGGCACTTGCTCCCATGGTACTGGTTTCATGTTATGTTTTATTGTGATATGTTTCTATTTGGTTTGGTTTGGTTTTATTGCATTACATTTTCACTCTGTGCTCTCTGGGCTTGTCCCTTTGTAAGCTGCTCTGAGTCCCTTCAGGGAGATGGAGGCGAGGTATAAAAATAAAGTTATTATTATTACTGCCACAGTTAGAGGACAGTAGCTTGATTGAGTCTGAATCAATATTTTTATATGTGCATGTGTTTTATTTCATTGTATTCTATATTGTGTTCACTTTTATGTTTATTTTTAGGCACTTGTGCTGTCTGTAAGCCGCCCTAAGTCCCTTTGGGGAGATGGTGACGGGATATAAGAATAAAGTTGTCGTTGTTGTTGTTGTTGTTAATATCATCATCATCCATGGCTTGAAAATATATTCTGAAAAATCCAGAACGCAAATCTTGATTTTGTAGTTGTATACAAGGGGCACCATTTTACTACACCTATGTATATAATAGGATTTGAGCATGTACAGATTTTGGTATTCATGCAGGATTCTGGAAACCAATGGCCCACTGTAGTTACAAAGGAAACCTTTCTGCATCCAAACCTTTTGACCAAATTGGGAAGAAATTTAGCAACAGTGATGGTGTCTCGGTGATCACAAAAAGACAGGCAAAGCATAACTGTTACGGAATCAGAAAGCTTTATTTACACAGTCAAAGTAACAAGTAAATTCCTGAGACTGAGCTGCTCTATAGTGCAATAAGGTCATTTGAGAGAGTACAAATCAGCAGTCTTTTAAAAAAAATTCAGGTCAAGGAACAGTCTTCAGTAATAGCAAATTTTGAACAAATGTAACACCAATTACAGAGCTGACTTTGTCAATATGTTTGCGTCTGTGCAATTACTAGTGACAGAGAGAAACACACACACACTTGTGCACACGCACACGTCCACATCCATACATTAAATGTTACCAGAGTTCATGGTTTCCCAAAGGCTTTTTGGCCAATCAGTATATTTTAATTCATTGGTTTTTTAAAAAAACACAAAAAACATTAATGCTGGAAAGCACAGCTATAATCCTAAAAATATCATCCTGTCCTATTCAAAAAGGATCACCCCAAAATGCACTTGAAAAGCAATGTCATTCGCCAAAGATAGGCTACCTTATGAAAAATTACAATCAAACCCAGAAATATATCCTTTCCGATGATATATCTTAACACTTCATGAGAACTGTTACAAAGAGCAGTCATGACTTCAGATGCTTGACATAATTCCTGTAAGCAAGTTCATCCATGCTAAGACAAAGAGGGGGCACCCTGCAGATGTCTTTCGCTTGAACTTGGTTCTCAGAAAGGACTATTGATTTTGCCGACATTTAGTGCTATTGCCATGAAATGTCCACAGTCCAGATTGATCCAAGCTCCAAACAAGCCACGGGTCTTGTCTCCTTGTTTATTAGACTTCACTGCTGAGCAAATAAATGTATTTGTCTACAGAACAAGGTCAGCAATAGATTTGTGAACTTGGCAGATACCTACTAGAAAACCAAGTGATCTGTGTCATATTTGATAAGTCCAGCAGGAATCCAGTGATCCTTGTTAGAGGGATCCAGTGACTTTTCAATTGATGTGAGCTCTCTGTAATCCAGTTGAGTTTCTTTTATTTTCTGATGAGCAAAACACCTTCCATGTTATTATAATCTAGAGGATGTCCCCGCGTATGGGGCACATACTACACATTTCAGACATTTCATTTTGTGTGTGTATATTTTACACACGCACGCACACACACACATTCATAAATCCACAATGTTTAATTTCTATTTCTTAAAAGTAAGGCTTTCAAAAACTCAATTCAGTACATAAAATCATAAAAAAACCAAAAGCAGTACAATCCAATGAACCATCGCCTTGGCCTAACTTTAGGCGAGTAAGTATTATTGTGTCTATGCAGATGTGTCCACTGTAAGGCCATTATTCAGTGAATCATCTTTACTAAGGCAAAGAGGGTTTACTGCTGTGGAAATGCTACTCTACAGCTAGAAGAGTTGGGTAGTGGTCCATTGGGGCACTCTTCTACTCTGTGAATTTGACTTGTTGTAGGTAGCAGCTTTTTTTGTTTATTTGTTTGTTTTAAAGCCCTTTTGAATTTAAAGTGTGAGGATAGGAAAATGCCATCTCTGTAGAACTAATGGCAAACTGAGCTGCCATAAATCAAGTTCTATGCAAATCAGGCCTAAAAAGACTGATACGCTTTCCCAAAAAGCATCAAGCTAAATGGCACAAGATGAATTCTATGTGGACGGTTCCACATATAGATACTAGGTGCCCCTTTATACTATATAAAATTATAACACTATGATTCCACTTCAACTGCAACAACTATAAAGACCTGGGCACTGGATTTCCCTGGCTATGAATTCCAGGCAACTTCTCAGAGACCTCTCTGAAGCTCAGCCTCAGCTTGGGTACAGATTTCCCACCAACCCCACCATCACAACCTCACTGTTGTTTTTATGGTGGTGAGCAGACTGGTTGAGTTGAACCTCCATGGAGCAGTACCTCCATAGTGGATGCTAAGACCCACTACATAATTGAAATCCCACCATCTGGGCAACTGTTAATCCCAGGATTTCATAGCATGGAACGATGGCAGTTAAAGTAGAATCATAGTGCCATAGTTCTGTTGTGTGACAGGAACCCTCAGATTAGGAATAGTTACTTCAACTGTAAAGTATTGTGCTAAAGAAAAATATGACCATTCACTAGAGAGTAGAAGACGTTTTGGAGAAATCTATGCAATCCAAGCTGGGGAAAGTCTTGCCACTTCAGGAGCATGCAATAAATGAGAGGTAAACAGGACTGTTGAACCCAGACTAAGTTGGTTGCGTTCTTACCCTGTTTATTTCAATGGGATCTAAACTAAGTAACTATCCCACACAACATATAAATGAATTCAATTAACTGCCATGTAAGCATACATAGGATTGCAGTCTGAATCCAATCCACTGTTTGCAAGTATCGTAATAGTAGTTTATGTAGGTCTGCATGATGACGGTAAAGGCTACACCGTGTTGTTATTTTAAAAGAATAGCTGGGAAAAGGAAAGAAAGGTACACTTTCTATCTATATGAGAATTCAGAAGAACTAAGGCAGGATCAAATATGTATTATTTCCATGGTCAATTCTCACTATAATGAAGCTGAAAAGATGTCCAGGTCCTGAAATAAAAAGTTCATGGGCTTTGTCTTATATTAGAGAAATGGAAGGGGAAAACTGGATTCACTTCCAGTGTGCTTAACCTGCAAGCATCTTTCTTTAAATGGTCAAAAATGCTAAGGAAATTATAACAATAGCAAACCACCATAGGGATGCAGCTGACATTGAGAATTAGAGGGTTTTAGAGATGACCATTACGATCTCAGAACTTCTCAGCTCTCCCACCATCCCACCACCACAACCTCACTGTTTATGGTGGTGAGCAGATAGGTTGCTGTTGAAGCTCCATGAAGCAGTACCTTCCATAGTGGATGCCATTACATCAGTAGTTCTCAACCTGTGGTCTCCAGATGTTTTGGCCTTCAACTCCTAGAAATCCTACCAGCTGGTAAACTGGCTAGAATTTCTGGGAGCTGTAAGCCAAAACACTCGGGACCCACAGGTTGAGAACCATAGCACTACATAATCAAAATCCCACCATCTGGGAGATTTTGCAGAAAGGAGAAGCAAGACGGTTCATAGAGGGTATGCAGTAGGGACACCTTTGAAGCCTTATTTCATTTCTGAACATTATCAATGACAAAACTACAAGATATGAGCAAAAACGAATCTAATAAAAAAATCAAATTCAGGTCTGATTAGAATGAAATTTAGCTCAATTTGGAGAAGTCCATCCCAAATCATGCCTAAGGTGGCTTTTTGTCAGTAAATCACCTGTCTGCTTTGGAAAACCAGCAGCTATGTTAACTTGGCATATGCCAAACAAACACTGTGAACATACAGTGCATGTTCTACTAGGAAAGATCAAGGTTAACAGTTGTGTTCCCCAGGTTGCGCCGTGGCACCAAAATGCAGAATTCAGGCTTAAAGCAAACCCTCCTTAAGGTATGATTATGTCATTACAACATTTTTTGGCTTGAACATTATGTGAGTATGAACTAGGGAGGAAATAAAAAGAAATCAACATAAGAATAAACAAAAAAAACCCCACAAACTTGTGCAGTCTGACTAGACATTTGTAAAGCTACAGCTTGGATGGAAGCTACTGAGATGTAACATACCACAAGCATCTTACACCCCAGTAGGAAAAAAAAGTGCAGAAAAATAGGGTGCTTTAAAAAAAACTTCTCTATTTTTTATTTCCCACCCACCCACTTTTAAGTAAACAAAAACAAAATTCCATGTAGTATGTGAACAGCTTATTTAACTGAGTTATATGTGCTAAAGTGTAAATGCTTATTGTTCACCTTTATCAATGAAAGAAAGAGAAAGAGAAAAAAAAACAGAGAAAGAAAGGAAGGAAATGCTGGAGTGAAGTTGCTTGAATAGTAGTATTTCAAACTGCATTTTGTATCAGTCTCATCATAGGAAGAAATGTATTGTCTGTGTTTCACATAACAACAACAACCCTGAGTGGGACTATATATTTATTGCTTGTTTATCTGAGCTAGGGATGGAAAATATGTGACCACCAGTGATGTTATTTGTAACAATTTACGAGTGAATCTTTTTGTACTAACTAGAGGTATTGCAAACTTGCTTTTAAGTTCTTGTGACTGTAAATGAAATGCAGTAATGGCTCTGTACACAAATAACATCAAGGCTCAGGCTTTAGCACTCTTTCCTCCCTTACCCTGCACTGATTTCGTAAAAAGGTCTTTGTGTGTGTGTGTGTGCATGTGCGTGCAGAAAATGCATATTTGCTTTTCCATCAAAACCTACAAACTAGAATTGGTGTTTGTCAGACCAATCACAATGGCCAAGCAAAAGTTATCATGCCTTGCAATTCGAGTTCAACCCATATTTTGACAGTTTAGAGGTAAAAACAAACCGGTTGGACTGCTGATGAGGAAGTGCAAAGCAGGATACCCTTGGGGCTGACTGAATGACATCTCCGGAGGTTGGGAGGAGATGCTCTAACCTCCTGTTCAATTACTTTCACCATTTTGTAGACATATGCAAAGTATGCTGGTTTCATGCCCCGTGCCAAATTTTTAGGTATCTTTATGGAGAAATATAACTTTAAAAAAATAATAATACAGAACCCTGATATTAGAAAACTGTCAATCCCTCAACTGTGAACTAGATTTTCTGATGTGATGACAATCTCCTTTCTGTTGGCAAGTTACTACCCAGCTAGATATCTGTTTGCCCATGTTTGCTGCTAAGGTTTTTCTTACTATAAACAAGGACAATGAGATGATAGATATTTATTGAGGGCATTTTTTTTGGTCTTAGGACATGATGTATCTGTGTATCTTCAAGTGGTGATCATGGAGAAAAGGATCAATAATATATCAGGAGGAGGTTCAGCCTAGAAGATGTAGATGTCACTGTGTATGAGCATGGCTACCATCTTTCAATGAAGCTGGAAATATTTGAGAAAATAATGCAGTGTAATGTATTATTGTTGTTTCATTGTGGTCCTAGGAAGTGTGAACTAATCAAAACAAGGTGTCATCTTCAGTTCTGTCTGCTGATCCATAGAATAATCTAGATGCCAATTGTGATTGTAGAGACCAGCTATACAAAATGCAGTTAACCACTTCAGTGGGGCAAGGGAACAGAGGACACAAAATATGTATGATTTATTTCTGATATTAAGAACTAATCTCAAGAATTTCCATTATTCACCAACTCTCATTTTTCTGCATATATATTGCCTCACTTGACTATGCTTCCAAAAAGCACATTTACATCTGCAAGTGTGAAAGCCTGCATATGTTCACAAGTCTCTCTGGCTGAACTGGGAAAACAAATTGGCTGTCTTTTTGTGGTGTTATTGATGACTGCAGATACAAAAAATGGCGTTTACAGACCAGAACAGTCTACTTTGAATCTGAGAAGCTTGATTTTGTAGCGAAGGATTTGTCTGATTTGTAAGACATCAGAAATGCAATCTGAAAGATATTCCAATGGAATATGAATTCAAAGAGCAACACTAAACCCACCTTTTCCCCCTTTGAAAAGGATAGTTGAGGTGCAGTTCAGAATCAAAATCAGCCAACAACAACAACATTGACAAGAACGACAACAACAAAATATAGTCCACTCTTTCCAAAAGCGAAAGTGGATTAGGATTGCCATCAGATAGAGCATGGACCAGCTGCCTCTCTAGATGGCATGCTACCTATGTTGTGAATGAAGACCAGCAAGAGACTTCCTGGTCTTTCCTTTCTTCTTCACTTAAGCCCTGTTTCAAACACATTTTTTTTCAAAAAAAAATAGGCATTATTCTAAAGTTCAAGTTTTTTATACATCCACAAAGCTTTTTAAAAAATGTGCTGATGTAATCTGGAGGTTTTTCTCTAAAGCTTTCTTACAAAACCTCGTGGGCTACAGTAGTTCTAAAAAGTTTCAAGGTTTAACAAGATACCTGATGAAATTTTGGCAAAGCTTCCTTGTTCCCTCCCACCTGCCAAGGAGAAGGAGAATGTGGCTTCTCTTCTCTGTCTGCATCAAACATCGGTGGGATTTTTACCACTCCTGAAAGCTTTGATGCAGACAGGCACATCCCTTTTGCATGCTCAGTTGTTTTCTATTTGCTCAATATCTAATTCACCATCCAGATGAAAGACATTATCCCCTCCTGTCCCACCATTTCTCCATGAGGGCTCTTCTTCTTCCTTCCTATTCCGCTCATCCTCTGTGGCACAAAACTCGGACTCCTCATAGGAGAACTCTTCCTCTTTGCCAGATTTACATTCTTCTGCATGTGAGTGTGGCTCTGGCACAGGGGTGCAAGCTGGGGTCCTGCCGGGCATGACGTCCAAAGTTGTGATCCATCCCTCGGTGCTGCTGAGGCCAGGTGAAAACTGGTTTTTCTGAGAGCAGTCGTCAGCTGTGGTGCTAAGGCAGCTAAGGCTGTTAAAGGTTTGACAATTCTGTAAAACACAAAACAGAAGACACCGCAAATCAGAAGTGAAGATATCAGAGTTCTGCTATTTCTTTTGCATGTTTCATTTGATTGCATTGAAAAGAAAATGAGACTATTTGAACAGTAGCAGCAGAAATTGGGATAAGACTCCATGTGGTATGTATGTCAATGGACTGTCCCAGACAATGATTTTTAAACAAGTGTGATTTAATCAAATGTTTTTAATGTAATGTATTTTAATGATCTGTTTTAAATGTGTCTGTGTTTGTGGTTAGCACTCAAGTGAGTCCTTGTTGTAAAGCCACCCTAAGCCCCCCCCCCCCCGGAGAGTGAGAAGGACGGGGTTCAAATTCACGAAATAAATAAATATAACTATTGACCTTATCACACRGGGGACTCCGCCCCTCCCGGTGCCGTTTTGCTAGTCTCTTCGGCAAAATTACAGGGATGAGGGGTGACTCTGTTATCCCTGCATACCGCTTTGTCATGGCAACACTTCCCCCATCACACGAGAAGCATCGCCAAAGTGGTGCAAATCCGTGCTGGCTCAATTGGAGCCAGGACAACACGTGAAGACCTCTGTGCTGCATGGGAAGCATCATACAATGCTTCAATTCCAGCCGTGGGCAGGGGCTCCACTGTAAGTTCAGTCACGTAGTGTGATGGGCAGTGTGCCCATTTATTTATTTGTTTATTTATTTTATTTCGGGGGGGGGGGAGGCTCAAAGCAGTTTCCAACATATTCACGGCAAAATTTAATGCCTCAACATATATATGAAACCTAACATAAAACAACAATAACATATAACTATCAATTAAATCATAACAAAACATAACAACATTTGGACATTAAAACAGAGTTAAAACATATTAATATAAACATTAACATAACATAATCCAAAAATCGTAGTCCAGGCTGTTTGAAATATCAAATGCACATAATCCCTGATCATGCCTTGTATTTCATTTGTCATTGGAATGGTTTGGAAGCATCCTAGGATGATAAAAAAGCCCCTGTGATGAGATCATATGAATTATGAGTCTATGCTGCTTTGGACCACAGAGTACTCTACATCACACAAGGTTCTACCTAACTCCATGTTATCCTAATAGCCATTCTGTGTGTTTATGACTTAATAAACTCTATGGCTTTAGAATCTATGTGTATGAACTTAAGGGAAGAGAATCATACAGATCACAGATAACACCTGACATGTGTGTATATACAATGTAGTCCTTGGCACACCTAACCTCCCCCAGCAGCCCATTTAAAAATTCAGTTCAAAAGCTGAGATTTTAGCAAAAACAGCTCCACTCTTACTCATTTGAAAATGATTAGTCCCTTAGAAGTTGTTCACAAAAGAGTCTTATTTCACTTGAAATGAGTGGCTGAAAGTGGTAAAATGTCCATTTCAGTTCACTAAAACAGGGTCCTGATAGGATGCTGTGATGATCTGGACCCCCAAATGGTGAGATAAGGCACTCTAAGGTCTGAAATGTGTTTGATCCTATTCTATAACCTAATACTTTCACCATTATTGTGCCCTCACTGAAGCACTATACTTCCTTCTGTAGTTTTCAAAGGAAGTATAACAGTATCATAATTAATGGAAACAATCTTTAAACTATTTCATGAAAATAAAACTACACTTGAAAAGGAAATCTCAGAAAAAGGGAAACATAACAGTAAACATGGCTCTATCAAACTCTCTGGAATGGCCTTTTGTCCCTTCTCCAAACACACACTGATATAGGCTGGATATGTTCAGTAAAGGTCACGAGGAAAGCTGCAGGAAATTAAAAGGAGTTGTTTTCTTCTTCACTGGTCCTATGTTACTTCTGTTTGCCTTAACATCCCTCATCAGAAACTGTGATAATTTTCTTCTGGATATGTTATAGGGCATGTTTCTGAATCTAGCAACAGAAAATTATCTTTATGCAAAATTCAACTCACTGTTTGTTTGTTTTTTTGGGTTTTTTTTTTGCACATACCATAATGGAACTGTGGTTAAAAGTAGTCATAAAGAAACCCGTTATTTGCTCAAAATATCCTGCCCCAATCTGACCAATTATGAGGGTCGAAGAGTCACAGATTCCTCAAGTCCTATCAGAGAACAGATTTATAAAACCAAGTTACAAGTCAACATCTAAGGACCTTACCCTGTTCTAACTCTCCATAGAGTTGTAGTTCTTGTAGACCAGTGGTTCTCAACCTGTGAATCCCCAGATGTTTTGGACTTCAATTCCCAGAAATTCTAACAGCTGGTAAACTGGCTGGGATTTCTGGGATTTGCAGGCCAAAACCTGGGGACCCACAGTTGAGAACCGCTGTTGTAGACTGTACATTCACATGCACAACTCTAGAGAGCAGTGGTGTTACTAGGGTTGGTGTAACCGAATGCAATCATTCATTTTGTTGCTCCCACGGACCTCCTCTTGTAACAGACCATGATGTAGCCAAAAACTTGACTAAATCAGAAACTATAAAAAGCAAAAGTAAAAAAACAAAAACAAAAACAGTGCAGATCTATACCATGTACAGATGAAGTTATGTGGTTTGAAGCATTGTTGTAATTGGGTCATAATTACAGCCCTGACCATGTGCATTAGAAGATTTAAAATGTAAATCGGCATACTGATAGAGTTAGACAGATGATGATTGACCCCACAAAGCAACACCCTGTTGGGAATTTAGTTAGAGCAACATGTTACAGATGAAATGCTACTAGACTCGCAATGTGCCCCTCCCTTCCCCTTTAGTGCCCCCCCCCAGTGTTTTTGACCCCTCCTATCAATCTCTCCCCCCCCCCGCCTTCAGTTCCATACCTGTTACAATAACGTGTTTTAAAATGTGATTTTAAACTGTCTTCTAACCTACTTTTAAATAACAGCTTCATTGGGGAGTTATTTTTCCCCTCCCAGGGTGCTTGTGCCCCGCTTTGTGCTGTCAGTGACCGTAATAAAGTTTTGTACTTGTATTGGTACAGAGCATATAAACTGGATTTCTGATAAATGTTTTCTAATTATAACTACACTACATTTTTCCCCATCACTGATCAAAGTAAGAATCTGCAGACCCCCATTATTCCCCTTCTTGCTGAGGAGTTGCTCTATCACTTGGATATGTCACAGAAGGGGAATATAGCTTCATTTTCTAAGGAACGAGTGCAATGAATGAGAAATGCATGTATTTCTCCAACATTTCCAAAACCAGGTATAGGAGTACTTTCTTAAAGTGTAACAAATTGAATTTGGTGATGTCCCACTACACTCTCTGAGTAAGCTCAAGACAAATGATTGAAGAATTCTCTATTTAAGCCCTTAGTTCTGGCTGCAAGGTTGATTTGGATTCGAGGATAGCTTTATAAACAAAACAGTGTTTGCAAGTTCTTTCTGCCCATGTTCCAAATTCCAAAAGCAAGTTTTCACAGGCCGCAGTGTGTTTCTGGAGTGCTGGCACAAAAAGGAAGAGGAAGCCATGGCAATCCACCCATCAGGTGGGCATTTAAAATGTCACTGCTGCAGACATACACTGTAGGAGGCCAAAACACATTTGTTAATCTTGACTCCACAGTTTGGCAGAATTTGCTGGTCTCTAGTTACCTGGTAACCACCGAGGAGCATTTAGTTTGCAAACAGCACTGGGAATGAAGTGGCGGAGTTCTCTGAATTCCACCTTTCACTCCTCCCTGCTTGGAGGCAACTGTGTCAATAAGGCTGTTCTCGGTGCTTAAAGGTGTATATACCATCTTGCATTCAAAAGGATCTTTTCAACAGTTGAGGAACAAACACTGTTTGTTAAGAAGTGTGCATTGCGTCCAAAGTTTCGCTTTGTCTTCTCCTGGACTGAATAGAATTGTTGTTGCACAAGAACATGCACCTTTCCAAAATATCCATCTTTCCCAAGCCAAAACTATTTATTTATTTACCACATTTGTATAGCGCCTTTCTCAGCCCATAGGCAACTAACTAACAATGGAATCAAACTAATTGCTCCTCCAATGGTCATTTGTTACACAGAGGCATGGTGACTAGATACCAGAGGGAAGGAAGGGGCTTATTTCTGATTCTTCAGTGAAATGGCACAAAGAAGGTTTATGTTGCAACTGGGAGGGCCATACTAGTAATGGTCCACAGCTCATGATGACAGAAAGTAAGTTTTCCTGGGAATTCTTGTATCAATAATGCAGAATTTAAGAATGACAGGCAGTTGGCATTTGGACATGCCTGAACCTGGAGTGCTAAGCTCAGCGCCAAAGCCTCAACCACAAGTGGTAACAACTTGTGGGACTTTACTGCATTTGCCAAATATTAGATGAGGACAGGATATGGCATTGTTTACTTGGAAAGGTGACTGTGCTTGAAGCTGCGAGACCAGATGAACCTGAGAAAGAACCCTGGCGAAAGGACAGACACCATGGGTGCATCTACACTGTAGAATTAATGTGGTTTGACACCACTTTAATTGCTGTGGCTCAATGCTGTAGAATCGTGGGAATTGGAGTTTGCTAAGGCACCAGCACTGCCTGGTAGAAAGGACCCTGTAAAACTACAACTGTTATTATACCATAACATCGAATCATGGCAATTAAAGTGGTGTCATGCCGCATTAATTCTACAGCATAGGTGCACCCCAAATCAGGTGCAGTATTAAGACACTTTCACTGTAACCTGTCCTTTTGAGAGAACAACAAATATTAAGGAAGGCTATGTACAAATATATGTAATGGTTATGTTAACTTAGATCCCATATAAATGTCAATATGCCCATCTAATCTCTGTGTGTTTTAATGTTTGGTAAGTGAATTTCCTTGACTTATTCTCCTTCATGTATTGCAGTAAGCTTCAAAGGAAAACATCAGTGGCAAATCTAATTTTATTACTATTAGACTATAATTTGTGAAAGAGCAAGAAGGACAACGCACATAGACTTGGCTATTCAAGTCGTATGGATCAACAATCACGCAATTACAAAAATAAACAAAATATCACAAAATTGTGTGTGTA